CGGAGCTGGTGCCTCACGCCTCACCCCCGTAAATTTAATCGAGGAGGGGTGCAAGTTGAGGAGGTTTGTGTCGGCAGCTGGAATGAACAAACTGAATTTCGCAAATTAGTTTAAAACTACATTGATATAGCCGGCTTGCATTGCCGAAGAGTAATTCGTCTGCTAATTAAACTCTGAAGGCAGTGTCGTAGCGGGACGTGGACACTGATGTCTGAAAGGCTGAAGTCCGTTGATGAGAGGCTTTGGGAAATGAGAAACCCCAGATGCTCTTGAACACGTGTGAGCCTCGCGTGCCCTGTTCTGTTAGTCCGGCTGTGGGCAGCGAAACGGGCGCCTGTTGCCATTCACCGAGTGGTTTGTTCCCAACGCTGGTGTGGGAAACCGGGAGTCGAAGCTCAGAGCTTCGTTTGGAAGGGCTGTGAAACTGCAGGTCTTGGTTGTGGGGTGGTTGGATTGAGGTGGGAGTGTGGTCGTGAACTGTCACCTCGACAGCCGGCAGCGTGCTGGGACAGACTTTGAAGGAAAGAGTTAAAGGGGAAACTGAGGATGTAGTACAGCATGAATTTATTCCATGTTCTCTTGAAGATGGGTCTTGGTAGGTTCATCTGCCTAAACAACAGTGATACTGTCCCTTACTCTGAGGTTGAACTTATAACCGCAGTAGATCTCGTATCTTGAATCAGCTCCATATTAAAAAAAAAAAAACAAACAACAAAAACGAACAAAAAAAAGCCAAACCAAAACTACCCAAACAGAAAACACTAGCGGACCTGAAGAAGTGGGGTACTTAGTAGAGAAACTTGAGGAGAAGTTGAAGGAAGATGGGAACAGAACGTTTCAAACTGGGAGGAGTTACTCTGCAGTGCTTTCCAAGGACCTGCCATGTTTAGTCTTTCTTTGCCTGTTAATGTTGTTAATGCAAAAAGTGCTGATGTTTCATGCAGAGGTGCTGATGGAAATAGAGGTCAATTCTTAACATGAAAAGCAGGCGCGATCACATAGTGAGGAACCAATTAAAATTGTAACGAACTTCAGCAATGTGAAGTAAAAGGTCTAATAGTTTGTAAGCGAGAGGTTATTAAATCTTTCACTTCTGAGGAGGAGGTGGTGCCGCGTGTATACGAGCTAATGGCTGGATCAGGAGCCAGCAGTCTTATACATTGGGGTAAGAGTACTTGCAAATGTATCGGCAGAGATTTCCAGAAGAGAGAGAGGAAATTTGGAGATCTTCCCCAAGGCTCAGGTGAGGCTTTCTGGGATGCTGCCGTCACTCTGGTGTTCAGGAAGGGTGGATTTGAGCTGGGACATGCATGGGTTGCTAAGAGATGTGTCAGGAGGAGAGTTCGTCTTATTCAAGATGACTGGAAGAGCTCTGATTGTTTTGCTTGGCAGAGAGGGCCAGACCAACGCATAAATCTGTATGAAGAGTGGTGAAAGGAAGGAGGGGAAAAAGATGTAAAGCTGCTTCTTGCTTGCTAAAATAGACCATCATCTGCATTTCTGATAAAATTTGAAGGTAATGTGAGAAGCAACTCAATTTCATGTTAGTAGTAGCAGTAGTATGGTATCATGGAGAAGAACCCCTTCCTTGAACTCCCTACGCATATTTAGAGACCCCCTTAGGTTTTGTTAGCCTCCTTTTTGCAGCCAGGGCAGATTCTTGCCTTTCTGGAACGTCAGAACTCATCGTTGCACTGGATCCGTGGTGCGTTTCTCTCCTGTTGTGCAGAAGGTGGTGTGTGCAAGGACTGTAGGTGCACTTTGGGTTATAAAATACTTCCCGTGGCTACGAAGGAATTGCAGCTCTGTGGTGAGGACGTCCCAGCTGTTTAACTGAACGTGGCAGTAACGAACAGAACTGAAAGCAGGAAGTGAGGAAAATGTTGGTTTTAACTGAAACAGCAGTTAGGGATCCGTGCTACGTGGCTGATGGTGGGTTGGCTAAACAGTTGCCTTCCTGTCCTCGTTCACCAGTGGCTCAGTGTCCTATCCATACCTTTTGGGGCAGTATGTAACTTTTTTTTCCCTCAAATACAAAACTTCTGGTTCCTAGAGTCTCTTGTGTTTGAGAAGTTTCTGCAGGTTCGAAAGCCTGTTTTGCTCTTCACGTGCTCAGATTAAGCATGTGAATGCTTTCGCACTAGGTCTGGATAATGGAAAGAGCAGCCTGGCTGGCACGTGGTGCTTTGATGGTTAAGGAGCTTTAAGATCCAGCCTTATCGTGAACTTATGCAAGCGGGAACCTGTGTTTTCCTTCCACGTTCCTGCTTCCTTGAAGCTGGGGCTGAGTTTACGTATGTCTCTGGATATAGTGGAAATGAGTTGCTGAGGTGTACCTATAGAAAACTGGCGTGAGGGAACTCCTGGGCATGGCATGCAGTGTTGAGTCAAAAACCCGAAAGGTTGGACTCTCCTGAGAACAGCTTCATTGTTCTGCAAGTTGTGTTACCTTTTAAGCTAAACTTAACTCTTAAACTGATGGTTAAAGCGGTTAAAACACTCAGTGTGCTAGATCTTAAGAGTTTTTAGACTCCTGCTCTAAGAGATCACCCACAAGGCTGATGTTGGGGCTGGAAGAATACATGAGAGCATAGATTAATAAAACAGACAAAAATGTATCTTTGTGGATTTCCCTGTTCTAACATACTTTTAAAAAAAATGCACTTTTACATGTCAGTAGGATGAGTAACTTTCTGGAAAGTCTTCTTAGCAGGAGCTTGAAGTATTCTGTTCTATATCTAGTTAATATGACTGTTGGTCTAAAACATGAACTTGCCATTCTTTTCCCCAACCTTCTTCTGAAGCAACAGTTAGACAAAATAGCTTTGTTTTTGTGTAAAAGGTAATGGGAAACACCTCAGAATTCCAGAAAGCCGTGAAGTTGGTGATTGACACTGTTTCATTTGATAGAGACTCAACGGTCCAAGTTTTTGAGGCAACAATCAGGTACGTCGCTCTAAGTTTCTGTCTTTTAAAACAGTAACAAGGTTAAAGACTTAGTGTGTGTACATGAGAGAACAAAAGTAAAATCGTTGATAAGAACGTCTTTGGTAGGCTTTATTACATAATTATTCCTTGAGTAAGTTGTTTTTTAACCTTTTATGAAAATGTTCCATCGTTTCGTAATTAAAACAATTTTAATGAGTTACATGTGACTTGAAGCAGTGATACAATGGTAGTCTCAGCTGTCTTTGGCTTGCAGACTGCTAAATTTTGTTGTTGCTCTTGCAGCGGAGTCAGATCTGTGCACAGCAACCAACCCTGCTGGCAAGTTTTCTCTGTTTTGGTTTTCTTCCATGGAGCTTCTGCTTGCTTTCACTTTCATTTTAGCTGAAAAACAGGCCTGTCTGTCTTGGAGATGAGTTAAAGATACCGTCTGATTTTTAAATGGCTTAATTTTCTGAATGTCTTAAACAGCGTTTATTCAATTGCTGCTTAACTTGGCTAGGCTTTCTTTTTTCTGAATACTAAGTTTATATAACAACCTTATTGCCATTTGCAGGGGCAATGAGGTCTTCACTCATAAGTAGACTTAGTATCTTGCAAGGAGCTACTGGGTTAGGTAAATTCTGCAGAACTGGATGTTGGGATTGATGTGGCTGACAAGCAACATGACTTCTGGATGTTTTCAGTACCGGTGGGGGAGAAAAGCAGATCTCTTTCTGTAGCGCCTGTAAGGTGCACAAAATAATACTTCTGTTAAACATGATGCTGGTAAGGGTTTAGCTAGGTCCAGATCGGATTTAAAAACTGAAATCTTTTCCTTTTCCCATAGGGTTTTGGGCAGCCTGCTTTCTGCCCACATAATAATTACAGATACCAAACAGCCTTTTGGTGATATGACCATTAAGGATTATGACAATGAACTGTTGCATATGGCTCATGACCTAGCAGTGAGACTACTTCCAGCCTTTGAGAACACCAAAACTGGAATTCCATATCCTCGGGTAAGTGAGCACGCCAATGCAGTTGGGAAATAATCTAAAAATAGTGATTCACCTGTCCTGCAACTCGAATTCTGTGCCCTGTGTGTGCCTTTGTATGTGCACTTGGGGTATCGAACCTGCTCTGAGTTACAGTAAAATGGCATGTGGGGGAAACTGCACCAAGTTACGGTGACATGGGTGATATGTAAGTTGCTCCTTATGTCTAGTAAATGTTTTCTTTAGGCTGTTTTTTCACTCTGTATATGTTGTTCCATATGGGTCAGTAGTTATTTGTTTCCGTGCTGTTTGGCTGGAATGTGCTGTGCCCTGTGCTTTTTTCCTGTGTGTCATGCAGCCACAAACAATGCTGTCATTAAGAAGGTAGCCTAGGAAAGTGACTTTATTGGTGTCTTGGTACTAAGATAATTGTGATAAAATAAAACTCATCTAAAATATTTGTCATGCTGGGCTTGGAATTTGTAATTTTCTGGAATACTGCTCCGTGAGTACTCAAGAATACTGCGGTATTCTTGAATACTGCATCCTCTCATTTTAAGCAGATGCGCTTTGCAAGGAAGGGGATGTCAGCTCTAGTGGAATGACTCTAAACTGTAAAACTAACTAGCACCCGCCTGACTGCTTTTAATTTCTGGGGCCAGCAGCACTGCTTTTGCTCCAGACCTGTTGGGCTGTAGAAACATGAACTTTCACTTCTGTTCAGAGTCTGGTAAAGCAGTCGAGGGTGGTGTGACTTCCCTTCAGCATTTTGTTCTGTGGGGAAGTTGAGGAGCATTCAGTGAGGAAGCTCCTGGTTTCCAGAGCACTGAATGAGTGGAAGCAGTACTTGCATTACACTTGGAAGAACCTGAATGTTTAGTAGAAACAATGAAAAAGTGGACTGAAATTTGGAAGGATTAGCAAGTATAAGAGTAGCAAAATTAGGATTACTCAACCTGAGCATGATGTTACAAAGCTGGAAGATGAATTTGAGGAGTTCTTCAGGAAAACTTCTTGATCAAGCAGTGATGTGCTGACTTTCTAACTGTATACACGTTGCATCTATACATTGCAGAAAACTAATAAAAAGGCTTTATAGCAAATATAAGACACAGCTGTCTGAGGTGCAGCCTGCCTTCTTGCTGTTAGCTCTCTCTCTACCTGCTTCACAGGTCAATCTGAAGAAGGGAGTACCTCCAGACAGCAATAATGAAACTTGTACTGCAGGAGCTGGTTCCTTGCTGGTGGAGTTTGGTATCCTTAGCAGGCTGCTTGGCGATTCCACGTTTGAGTGGGTGGCCAGGAGAGCTGTCAAAGCACTCTGGAGTCTCAGGAGCAATAACACCGGACTGCTAGGTAATCTCCTCTGAGGTGATGCTATATTGACTGGTTCCATGTTTTAACCTACCTCAGTCTCCCATAGCAGAATGCCATCATGCTACAAGTTTCTTTCACGTTATTGTAAACTTTGTCCATCTGCTTCCTCAGTAGCTGTTAAGTCACACTCCTTGTGTACTCGTGGTTTGTGTTGGCCAAATGGCACTTTGTAATTTCGCAAGAAAAATGGAGTATCTGAATGACTTCTTGGGGCACAGGTTTCCAAAGACGAATTTTTCATGAAACTGGGAAATAAAAGTTCCTGCATTTGTATCCCCATTAGTATAATTTAGATTGGCAAATGACTAAAAGTACTTAAAACGACTGCATGTGTGTGCTAGTTCCTTGGATGAATGCACTGTAACACTTTACTTTGATAGTAACCTTTGATCATTCCTCCTTAAGACTTTTTGAAGATGTAGTACTTTTAAGTTCTGGTTCTTGATTATTTTTCTCTGATGTACTTGGCAACTTTAGTCTAAACTTTTTGTCTGTTCTGAAAGGAAATGTTGTGAATATTCAAACTGGTCATTGGGTTGGAAAGCAAAGTGGATTGGGAGCAGGGTCGGATTCATTCTATGAATACCTTCTGAAGTCTTACATCCTCTTTGGAGAAAAGGAAGACTTGGAGATGTTCAATGATGCTTATCGGAACATTCAGAACCACTTAAGAAGAGGGTATGTTATTTCATATACGGATCAATTCCTTAAGCAGTGAATGCTCAGCAAGATATGAGACATTGTACAGTGTTTTGTGTCATGCTTTAGAAAATCTGTGTTCTCTTTAAAAAACAAATCTTATTTCCATTGTAGTCACTGTGGAAATAAATTTTAATGTTCCCTTCGCTCCTTAGTCAGCTGATCTGTATAGCATTATTGGTGCAAAGAAACTAAACTGGTTACTGTCCAAGTTAGTAAACGTTAGGCTGAGAGAAGGCTGTAGAACTGCAAAAGAAATGTATTAAATTGGCTGGTTTAGTACTTCTTAAGGCCTGATCTTACCTAGCGTGACTCTTTTTGGTAGAGAGTCTACTGACATAACTTTAGGATGTGATGTACGTACCTTTATGAATTAATTTTTCTGAGAGCATGACTGATGTTTTGGTTCTTTTCAAAATTACTTGGAGCCTCGCACGACAAATCCGTGGCTCACTCTCTTTGCTGGTGGCAGTGCTGTGAAATGACACGCACGTTGTGTTCTTCTACAATAGTGAATATTTACACATGCTTGTTACTTGGCAGTCGAGAAGCTTGCAATGAAGGTGAAGGTGACCCTCCTTTGTACGTTAATGTAAACATGTTCACAGGACAGCTGATGAACACGTGGATTGACTCTTTGCAAGCCTTTTTTCCTGGACTACAGGTAAACTTTCATTCTGTTAAAGACCGAACGACACAGTAGAGGGATGTCAGAAAGGCTTCTTCTAATTCCAGGCTGTGAATAAGTCTAAGCATCTCTTCTGAGAAGAACTTCAACCTGTGGGTTTACGTCTGGCTGCTCTGATAAGAGAGTCTTAGGGCAATTCAGCTTCCTCATCAGCGTAACAATATTGGAAGGCCTGGGCTGCTCTCCAGTAGATCTGAGATACTTTTAACTTTTCTCGTTTAACCTCAGCATTTGTATATCGTGCTGTGAGGCTAGGCTCTGCTAAAGCTTTTAGCGTGAAGGAATTAATACATTAGTGCTTTTTTGGGGGATTGGTGGTGTGGTGTGGTTTTTTTTTTTTTGTTTTCCCTCCTTATGAGGGGAGTGTGTTATTGTATGGCATGTTCTCACGCAGAGCGGAAAGCAATTTGCTGGCTTGCAGTATTAAACGTGCATGTTTACGGCTTTGTTATGCTTAGGTATTGATAGGAGATGTGGAAGATGCTATTTGTCTCCATGCTTTTTATTACGCCATATGGAAACGATACGGCGCTCTCCCAGAAAGGTACAACTGGCAATTGCAAGCACCGGATGTTCCCTTTTATCCACTGAGGCCGGAGTTAGTGGAATCCACGTATCTGCTTTATCAGGTACTTGACTTTTCTGAGCTTACAGCTCATGTTTTGGCAAAAATGACTTCTTTCCGAAAGTCACTTTTTCTGCTCCTAGCCTCTGGCCTGCAAAAATTTAATGTCTCTGGATCTGCCTGTTCTTATATGGAGGTCTCTGTTTAGGCACTAGATCATTATGCAGCATAGTTGCTATGTTGTTTGCTTAAAAAATAGCCTTTTTTATAAGACAGACAAAAATGAGACTAAACAACCTTTTCAAAAAATAGCTGGCAGATTTTTGCAAGGTAAAAAATTGTGACTTCTTAATAGAAATTGTTGAAGTAAATGTAATAGCTTTCCTTGCTATATTGTCTAGGCACAGTCTGCAACTGGCAGAGGATACAGTAAACTAAAATAACTTTCGACTGCAAGAAAGTTATCAAAGAGTTTGAATTTACTACAAGTTTTGTCAGGGTTGGCACTAAGCAAATGTGAGAAGATTGCACAGGGTAATCCATGTTCCTATAAAGATAAGTTTATTGTAATACACGAGAATCTGATACTACTAGGCCTTGTTGTAAGTGTTATTTTTACAAGATTTTGAAGTTGCTGACTCTATCCCTTGTCTGTCTTCCTTATTTAGGCCACAAAGAACCCATTTTACCTTCATGTGGGAATGGATATCCTGCAGAGTTTGGAAAAATACACAAAAGCAAAGTCAGTCTTCAATTTCTTTGTCTTCTTTCACTGCTATATACATATATTTTATTATATAAATATGATATAGAATCCAGTCTGCCAAATGTAGGTAAACCAGAAAACCCGACGCTTGATGAAAACCACAAGTGATGATTTATTTATTGAACAATTATTTCTTTCTCATCTGAAAATGAAATTACTGTCCAGTGACAACTTTATGCCTTCAGAATTTTATAACTGCCTTTCAGAATGCATTGTTGATGATCAGTTGCTAAAAGCTGGTAGGGTGGTTCGTGTGTGTTTTTTTTTCCCTCTGTGGATCCTGCGAGAATATTTCTAACCTCATGGGCCCATGGTGTTTAACTGAAGTGGAGGGATGGCCTCTAAGATAGATGCTGTTGCATATCAGCTTTCAGCTCAAGACAGTAACAGCGAATCCTGACCGTAATACTGAGTATCTGAACTTCTTGCAAGACTCAGAGGGGAGATAGTGAATTTTTATTCAACTGTTGACATTTACTGATTTTGTAGACAAGTCTGTAGTAACCATAGGACAGTATAAAACAGTGTCATTCTGCGGTTAAGTGGGATTCAGATGCTGTGTAGGGAGTTGACTGAAAGCATTACAAGTGCTCTGTATGACAGCTTGCAGCTTTGTCATTTGTTAAGTGATGGTGGGAGGGAAGAGTAGGTAGCTCGGGAAGAAACCTTTGCATGAGACCAGGCGTCCAGATCTGGGTTTCTCATGTGCTTGGCATGGGGAGATTACCCGTTTTGTGCGGGGTGCCTTGAGAGTCTGTTGCTTCTTTGAGAGACTCCTAATAAATCTGCACAATGGAGTAGATGAACTGCAGGGTCAATGATTACAGTCTCATCAGAGTACCAGAAACCAATAATCAGTGCTTACTTGTAAAAGAGACTTGTTTCATTTTAACTTCACCCCTAGTGACAATTGGAATGATCGGAAGTTAAGGAATATCTAGGGAACGCTTTGAGATCAGAATGCGAGGGAACTAAAACCGAACTAATCTTAAATCTTGCAGGTGTGGCTATGCCACATTACACCACGTTGTAGAGAAGACAATGGAAGATCGAATGGAGAGCTTTTTTCTCAGCGAAACGTGTAAATATTTGTACCTGGTATGTGTATGTGCCTCATTTCAAAGACACTCTCTTGCATGTGCTGTGCACAAACATGGCACAGGGAGGAGGCAGGATGTTATTAATTAGAAACTGTGCTGGGGAAGAGAGGGGTGTAGGTGTTGGGGTGCATCGGACAGGGCGCTCTTCTTTTTTCTTTGACCTCACTGCAGTCTTGGGGGTTTGGGCAGCTGCCCAAGTGCAGTGTCCTGAACCGGTGTTGGAGAGCTGGCGTCTCTTTTGGGGGGAAGCTAGAAAGGAGAGGGAGCAAGACTGAAGGAAGCTACTGCTCAGCTCTGAGCTACCTTGCTGCTTGTAGCCATTTTGTCGGCCTCGCAGCAGGCTCCACTTTCTCCCCATCAGGCTTTGGCAGTCACAGGAGAAAGTGTTTGAGCCAACTTTGCTTAAGCTACTGTTCTCAGTCTCCTTTAGTGTAGAAAAACAAATAAATCTGTGACTGAATGGAAACAGTGGATGCCAGCCTAGAAATGTCTGCATAGTGCAGCTTAGAAAAATAAGGGCAGTTTAAGTTGTGTCAGAAGTTTTTCTTTTCCTCTCCTCTTTTACTGCTAAAGTAAATCCCTTGCATTGAAACTATTTATTTCCATTTGCTCCAACAGTAGTTACCCATTTAGCGCTAAAGGGTATGCTTTTTGTGTGATCCTTCAAATGCATAAGTGCATGCTTTTTAGCTTATTGTTGATGGGACATGAAAAACGTTGCACGCATACTATAGCTGTCTCTTCCATCTCTTGTTTAGCTGTTTGATGAAGAGAATCCAGTGCATAAATCTGGAAATAAGTATATGTTTACTACTGAGGGGCATATTGTGTCTGTGGATGAACGTTTTCGTAACTCACTGTGGCAAGACATCCTTCCTGGAGAAGAGGACAGTGCAGAAAAAATTAAACCTAACGAATTAAAGGCAGTCAACTTCAGCTCTAACGTAAGGAATAGGTGGGCTGTTCCTGGTTGCGTTGCTGGAGAAGGGATGTGTGTCACACTGGGTTAGGCAGTAGAAAAAGAGCCGTTTGGAAGTGTTACTTGAGCTCTGCAGTGTTGCCTTTATAAATGTCAAATATCTGAGAAGCTCCCTTGTGAGAAACACTTTCAGTAGTTGAATGAATGGATTAGGATAATGTGAGAGCGATTATGTTGAAGGTGAAACCTGTCCCCTTTTAAGTATTTTGCAGCAATTTGTTCTTTGTTAATTTATTTCCAGTTATTTTTCCCTTCCCCTTTTCTTTGCCATTAAAATTTTCCAGTGTTGCTGTGATGGGGAAAGAGAAAAGCAGAGGGTCATTTAAAAAAAGCTTTTTTCCTCAGAACAGTTTTGAGGCACATAGAGGTGACCTTTCTTAGCTAGGCATCAACTGAGTTCAGAGCTATAGATCCAGTGCCTATCGCTGACCAAAATAGGTAGGTTTTTAATGCAGAACAATTTCTTAAAATCTCTGCTAGTAGGTTCTAGCATGGTTCCGTTCCTCCTCCCCCCAGTCCTCCAGAAAAAGAGCATTATTTTAAACATTCACAGTTGTCATAGTGAAGGAAGTCTCAGTTGAATAACAAGCTGCAGCAGTTTGGCGTGTATTTGAAAGCTTACAGCCTGCACTAAGGGAACACTTGCTGCTCATTTATGTGGTTTGTGCTGTAAGTTTGCAAAGAGTGAAGAGGAGTTGGGACCAAAAGTGCTATTGGGTACAGTTTTCTGTAGTGGGAAGAAATCTATGGTTACTGGTGCTGGAACAATTACAGGGGGTATGAGATTGCCTGTTTTCATATTTGAGTTCTTAAAAATATTCTCATTTTGTTGACAGTGTAACCGAGTTCCCGATGAGAGGAGATACTTACTACCATTGAAGAGTAACTACATGAGACAGATTGATCGAATGGTGGGCTTGATCTGAATGGTTCTTCAGAGCAACTTTTATCATATGTCAGGAGGGGAGTGGGATTTGGCTGTTAGGCGTTCCTGTCCTCTTCAGCTACACACCTGCATTTGCTGAGTCACTTGGGTATCCCCCGTGCTTGTTAGTTTTCAGTTACGGACGTAAAGGGAGATCAAGTTCTCTTACGAGTTCAGTCTTCTGAGCTGTGGTAACTTCGCATGCCACCTGAATAGAGATTCCTTGTTTGAAGACTTCCTATGAAAAGTGTTGTTGCAAATGAAGGCTGAATATACTTTTGTTTTAAAAAAAAAAAAAAGGAAAAAAGAAAAGAAAATTGGCATGTGCCACTTAGCTACCTCTTTGTAGCTGTATTACAAATGTCCCTTTAGAAAAGGGTCTAGTATTTAATTTGAAATGATCTTGGGATTGGGGAAGGAATGGGAAAGTGCAATTTCTTACACCAAGTTTAATCATTGAATTATTCTGACTAGCAATACACAGCCTTAAGTACTACTCAGGTAGGAACCCACTGGTAATGGGTTTTGCTGAAACAAAAATGCTCTGTCTAGAATAATATCTTGAAAAGATAACTCCTGATCATATAAAAAGCTAGCAATATAGTCAGGACATCCTTCATATACACAGTTGTGTAGAACTGCATGGTCACAAGAGCCTGTAGCTACAGAAACCAGTAATAAAACAAATCAGGTGCCTTTTTTTGTAAGGGAACGGGAGGGAGGGAAGGGGAAATTGCAAAGCCACTCAGCTTTCCAAGCAGCTAACTTGGTGTAGCTTAGCTGAGCAGAAGTTCCAAAAGTTTTATTTGCCATGTTTCTAGTGCCTTTTCAGGAGAGATGCTGCTAAGAACTGGTATAACAGTACATGAAGAACAAACCATTTCACATTCCTGACAGCGTTAATATGTTAGTGCCTTAAGTTTTCTTCACTGGCAGGAAAAACAGCTTGCTTGGGAAGATGGGTAAAGTATTTCTGATTAGCTGGTTACAAAATACAGCGGATGCCAAAGTACCTTAAAAAGTAACTTGCATATGAGATGACTTCTCTTTTTTTTTTTAAGATACTGGAAGAATATCAACTTCTGTGCCCATCCCAAAGACTGTTTCTGGGCAGGATTTATTTTGTCTGTCAGTGCAGTTAGTAAAGGGACTGCCTCTGCATCACTCTGGGGATGGAGTTGGTGAGAGGTCTGAGCCTGCAGCGTGCTGCCTTCCCTCTGCCCTCGGAGAGCTGGGTACATGCCACTGTAACGGGGTCATGGCTGCAGCAGCTATCGCTGCTGGCTGCAGTGCTATCCCACACCTGTAACCCGTGCCTTCTGGTTCCAGTGAGGGATGGGCAGAACCTTCTGTTGCTTCATCCTGCCATCTCGAAATGCGGCTCAGATATGTTTGAGGAATAGGTGTCTATGAACTTTCAAGAAGAAAGCAGTTAAATTCAGGCAGGGCTGTCGAGGGATGAAAATAAACTGAGGCCAAAACAGTTTTTTTTCTAGTTTTTTTCTAGTGACTCCCTGTTGCTTACATGCTTTTTACTTTTGACTACAGTTGAAGTAGTTGAATGTTGCTGTTAGGTTAATTATTTTTAAATTCAGTCTTAAATAGAAGAGCAAACTTCATCTGCTGTATTTTCACCTTCTTATAACAGCATTGGTTTTCATAAACCATTTGTTGCAACTCAAAACATTTCTAATAAATATGAAGTTAGTGCTGAAGAGGTTATTGCTTGAATCTTGTAGTATACAGATGCATCTCAGGGACTTTATTGTAGAGTCTTCTATTCCATGATAGTTGGATCTTGTATTCAGGCAAAAAAAAAAAAATAATCCTGTCTTCTTAGTCTTACTGTGTGTGTTTTAAGGGGGGGAGGGTTGGAGCAGGGAGAGGGAAATATGTTAAGGTTTCCCAAAACATTGCCATAGCATTGCTAGCCTTGATGTTTGAGGCAGCTGGCAATTCCAACTCCTGTAGAACTGACTTTGCAAACCTATTACTGGAATGTCCGAGTTGCCTATTTCAAAGCAAAACATAAATTCAAGGTGTCATGATCCAAAAAGGTGTTGGGAGAGGTTCAAGGTATAGCTTCTTGACCCATAAACGTTGCCTGAGTGTGCAGGTATGCCGCAGTTTGTAACATGTAAAGAAGTGCAGGAGGATGTGTAAAGGGAGCGCTTTCTGCCGACCAAGGGAGGTAGAAAGCAAAAATATCTGGGCTTTCTGAAATGGCGCCGCTGGGCCAGATCTTCTCACTGTAGCTCTGAAATGAGCAGTCCTTGGTAGCGTGGAAGCAGAGCGCAGCATTCCACGACTAGCCATCGAAAGCGATGGCATAGCAGATGCCGGGACGGACATTGCCCGTGGTCTGTCGGTGGCTGCTTCTGGTAATGATTTTTCCCCGACTTGCAGTTTAGCTCTCCAAAGGTGCGTTACATACCTTGCAATTGCCTCTCAGTGTTTTGTGCCTTCTGAAGCACCTGAACCCTGGTAAGGGTTCGAGTCGAGTGTTATGCACAGAAATCTGTTTCAGAGCTTTCCTCGGAGAATAACACAACTATAATGAAGTTGCACAACTGTTCTGCCACTGTGCTTTTCCCTTTTTGTGTATTGCCAGAAATAGTGAGAGGTAGCTGTAGAATGGGAACAGCGGAGGCAGGTATCGCAGCCTTTCAGCCCTTACTGACTTGGACCGTTAGTAACCGTGCCAAATAGTGTATGGCCAGCTTCTCGTTAGAAACTGCCTTGAAATTTGTGTTGCCAAGGTGATCTGACAGTCATCTCTCCCTAGGAACGGTTCTTGTCTACAAGGAGACTGGTGCCGACTATGTGGTAAAAGGCTTTGTATTGTTTAAGGAGCCAACTTTTCTTCCTCTTTGTTTTAAAAATGCTTTGATACATTTTTTTATTCTGTAATGACAGGGCACATGCTATGCACTAAAATTAAAACTTTTGTATAAGTCAATGAGATCAAAATGAAATCGGTAACACTGCTGGAATAACTTGCTGAAACAGACTTTTGTATTTCTTGTTATAATGTGCAATATCAACTTCTCTTAATTAAAAATGCAATGTATGCTGAATTGTTGTTTTTCCATGAAGTATTTAATTGGGGAATGGGAAATTTTTAAGGGGACCAAATGCTCTTTCATAAAATGTCCTAAATTTCCAAAACTGAGCTTAAATTTTACAAATCTGCATTAAAAAATTAGTGTATTTGACTGCTTTTATGTGTGTTTTTCTTATAGTGTAGTTCTTGTCAGACCATCATGAAGCTTGCAGGTGATCTCCCAAACGCAGGGAAAAAGGTGAATTTGAGTGTGTATACCTGATCTTTGCCATTCACCAGGCAGGAAAACTTCAGCAGTTGAGTAGAACTGGGAGTAGGGGTGAGTAAAGGAGGGTCCCTGTTCAAGCAGATCTGTGGCTCTCGTTCAAGCTCTTCTTGACTTGGCCAATCTGAAGAGCTCGAGAACCTCTGGCTTCAGTAAAATAACAGAAGTCCCCAATGAGTTCTCTAGTTCTGTTGTGGGTGTCTGTGGCGGTCTTGTGTGTGAAGAACTTACATCTCCGACTGCGCCACAAAGAGGGGAGGCTGGGAATTCACTTTTTTGAGGCAGCCTTAGTCATGAACTGTCACTGCCAAGAGCATTGCTGTTTGTTACAGCAAATACCATGTTACTCCACTTTCTTAGAGGCTGGGCCTGCTGCTGGGTATTTTGGGGAAGAAGGAAAAGACTACTTCAACCACAACTTGACAGTTCCTTGTCTCCAAGGATAACTTGGCTCTGTCTTTGCCTTAGACCTGGTTAGCTCAGGAACACGTAATTGAGGTGTGCAAGAAATAGCTTGTGTTTTCCCCGGGGGGAGATGAGATTTCTCAACCACATCCTTGCAGTAGCACACAAAATAAGCTAATGGTTTGGAGAAGGGATTGCTCTCTGCTGAGGCCTTTCTTGACAGCTTCATCTGCCTTGGTTACTAGACACGAGATGCCTTCTTATGTATGCTGGATTTTCATCTAATTCAATTCGAGGGGCAGCCTGTGCTGAAAGCAGTGATTTGATGTGGAATGAAGAAATGAAGTGTGGTGGCATCAAGCTGTTGGCCTCCTGAGCAGGTAGCTGAGTCTGAGTAAGTACCGACCTACCTGCTGGTGTTTCCTAATACCACTTTCTCCAAGTTGGTCCATGAAGAACCTAGTGCAGGTGGGAATTCTGGACAGAGAACCTTGCTGGGCTCTTTCCCATCTATGGATAATTGTACCCTGGGAAATAGCTCATGCTGTGTTTAAAAACAGAGACATGCGGAAACAAGATACATGATCATGATGTTGATATTTATTTATTTTCTTCTGGATTTACTTTTTCTTTGAGATTACCTCTTCTGTTGTTTTCTACTTTGTAGTCCTGATTCAAAGACCTTTGAAGCTGAGAGGGCACTTTCTGTTGTCTGTCTTGATCAAACTCCGAGTTACAAGGAAATGTCTATTAAACAGAGTGATTGGAATTTCATAATGTTTTTAAAATTCCTCTGAATTTTTGAATGATGAGATTTTTGCCCTTCAAGTGCTATTTTTGCTGGACTCAGATTTCTAAGTCTCAATTCTGAAGTAAGTGTAAGTGGGCTGAACTCCTGATTTTGGGGAAAGAACCCACGCTCTAATGTTTTCACTGTGGTTGCACATTTACTAGTGGTGTCGCTGCCCTGAGCAACTATTTGCTGTCTTTTCTTATCTGGTCTGGCTTCCTTATCTGCTGTCAGACAGTTGGTTGGTCAATGTGTTACAGCTCTGAAGTGGGACCGGGTGTTTTGGCTGTAGTTTCTCTTAAGTCCACATTTAAGAAAATACTTCAGAAAAGACATTCTTCCCATTCTCGTTTTTCTGGCAGATTTGAATACAGTAAGATCGTATGTGATGAAAAATCTAAAGATCAAAAGTGTGCATCAGAATGCATTTTTTTTAGGGTACAATGAATCTGGTTAACCTCATATTATGGCTAAAAAGAAGTGACTTCTGGTAGCTGTGGACAGAGGTCTTTGGCTTGGGTTCCTGGGCATTCGGTGGCAATGCTGTAGATCTGATCTCCTTCCACCAGAGACCACTCTTGTGCCACTGTTCGTAGATCTCTGATGTATAGCAGCAAGACAACGGTAATGTCTTGAAGGTGGAGTGTTGGAAAAATGTAGTTTTATAGCTTTGTGGAGCACTGCTTCTCCTTTGCGGGGGGAGCTGCAAAGTGGTAAGGACAGATGGGCGTTAAACATCGAAGATGTGTTGCGC